CCCCGTGCGCGGCCCGCCGCCACGGGGGAGATGCGGAGGAGGGCGTCCCGCAGAGCCGGTGACAGCAGGGCCACCCCAGGAGGGTCCCCACCGACCCGAGGGGGAGCGGCACCGTAACGCCATGCAAAGCCAGGCTCTGGCACTGAAACCGCTTTTTATGTCTCGAAATCATGCTGACCCCACAAGAGCTGGAGCTTTGGTTTCTCATCAGGTCTCGCTCAGATGGGACTTTAAAGGAGAGCAGCCCCCGAGCCCCATCTGTGCTCCACCGAGCATTTCCCCCGCCCCGGCCGCTCAGCACCCTCCCTTCCCGCCCCGCGCAATCTCATCACAAAGCCCCCGCGCAATCTCATCAAAAAGCTCCTACAGAAACACTTCTGGGTTTAATTACAGCCCACTGAAATCCTCTGCCTGTTTCTCATGACAGGGTGAAATTCGCTCTCCACCGCACAGAGCAGAGACAGGAAGGGAGCAGGCGGCAGAAACACCCGCACAAGCAGCGAGATCCCAGGTTGGGCCCATCTGGTTTCCCCCCCGCTGCAACGGGACGAAGGCAGCAGCTCAGGCTCCATCACAGAGAGAGGGCCGGGACATGTTCAGAGCAAGGGGAGCCCGAGGGGGAGGGGCAGGCAGCACCCCTGGGGCGAGATCCTGCCCTGGGACACTCAATACCCAGCTACCCCTGGGCATCTGCTCTGTGATGTGCTTTACGTGCCCCACTGATGCCATGGTCAAAGCCACCGTAGCCAGAGGCACTTGGCCCTGGGGAGCATGGCTAGCAGCCAGAGCAGGCACCAGATAAGGGTCTGGACCATCGGGAATGGGGTTTTCCTGCTACGGAGGGCAGAGCCACTTGCTGATCTTTGCCTCTTGTGATTGTCGGAGACAATTCTTCAGCCACCTCACCGACGGAGTGGGAAGGGGAGGATTTGGTTGTTGGTCCTCCTCTCCCAGCCTTCTGCTCTGCAGAGCACCAGGTGCAGGAAAAGACAATAGGAAAGGGGTTTTTTGGGTTTTTTTCCATTTCCCTGTTGGAAATGATTGAGAAATGGTAGAAAAAAGAAAAAAGAAGCACGTATCAGCTCTGAAACCCCCCCACTGAGCATTAAATGGGGTAACGCTGGTGCACAGGGTGGTGGGACACCGCCCTGCTGGAAATGATTGAGAAATGGTAGGGGGGGAAAAAAAAAAGCACGTATCAGCTCTGAAAACCCCTCAATGAGCATTAAACGGGGTAACACTGGTGCACAGGGTGGTGGGACACCGGCTGCAGAGCAGCTGTTGACGGATGGAGGAAGCCTCACGCAAGGCCGGCCAAACAGGGAGCGGTGGGCTGTGGCACCAGCGGGTCACGAGTCAAACAACAATGCTTCCTACGTGTATGTCAAACAGAGAGCAAGTCCAAGAATCTGCCCAACAGCACCAGCTGCTCCCCTCCGTGCCCCAAGAGCCGCAGGACGGAAACAGCCCAAACGCAGAGTTGCAGAGGTGAGGGGAGAGTGTCCCGAGGGCTCCTGCTCCGCGAGGGATGACCTGGACCTGCTGCACAGGCAGCTGCGTGGCCACCCGTGACGGGATGGAAAAGCCCTTGTCCAGGGCTAGCCGGAGGAGACCCAGCTCCGCAGAGGGCAGGGAAAGGCTGGGATGTGCATCCCAAGGGTTTTCCAGAAGCACTGGGCAGGCGGAGAAGGACAGCCCTGAGGGAGACAAACCCTGCCAATTCCACGCTAAACCCCCAGCGCATCCCTCAGCGCTCGCTGAGGAGCTCAACCCCCGGCGTACGAACTCCTGATCACCACACCCAGACACAGCTCCTCTGCCGGGGCTGCCCTACGCTCTGCCCGGCTGTGCCCCATCCCGGGGGGCCGCAACCGTATTCCCCCACCCCGCAAGCTGCTTGCCGAGCCCTGCTCCCCGTTAGACACCCAAACTCCCCAGAGCTGCAGGAAAAAGGCACACGGGTGCGGAGAGCGGGACAGCCAAAGCAGCAGCAGCAGGAGGTGGAACGAGAGATGCCGTAACTTCAGCCCCGCGCCGAAGGAAGCAGAGAGGAGCTGCTCTAACGTGTCCCTGCCAGCCGCAACACAGCTGGCCAGGCTAATTTTAGACTCACCAGCTTAGCAAGGCTCATTCCTGTTAAAAAGGCTTGCAAGAATTCACGAGCTCCAGGCCGTGGTGCCGAAAAGCGAGCCTGGCTCCCGGGAAGTGCCCTCTCCCGGCCGGGGAGCAGCCATCGGCTCGGCCG